GTGTGTGTGTGTGAGAGAGATTTTAGTCTTAAAAGTAATGAAAGACAGTCATCGCCAAGGAAGCCCGTGATGCCGAGTTCGCTGCCGATCATCGCCGGCATCATAGATTTCTCGCCGTCGTTCTGAAACGTGCGTTCTTGGCGTTTTCCTCGGAACTTACATTAAATTTCAATTCCCGTCAAGAGGCGTTCTACGTTTGCGGAAAATTATGTCCGCGGGAGAGCAGAACGCGCGATGCTGTGCGTGACCTCGTCGGGAACTATTGAACGACCACTAGACGAAATCGCGGAGTAATGATCAACGACACGCGACCGAGACTGGCGACCACCATCGCGGGTTACAGTCAGGCGAGTCGCACGTGTGATCGTCGGCACGTGTCCGTGCACGACAACGGCAACGGTGGACCGTTGCTCTGGATCGTTCTGCTTTGTTGCTGCGTCACGATAACCTGCAGCACGAAGATCGGCGGCGTATCGTACAGGAAGGGCATAAACGGACTTAAGGCAGCTTGGTTAAGAAATCCGCCTCCGCTTCCGCAAATGGGTTTCTGCGATTTGGAGGGGCACTGCGATTGGTTCTGGAACGATACCTACGGTTTCCAGAAGGTCAGGGCGTTGCGAAGCAACTCGTTGAGGGCTTTTCCCACTACGGATGCCAGCAACAACTCGAATGGTACGAGAGAACCTTGGGGCGTTTGAATATTTTTCTAGAAGCAATTGGCCCGAAGAAAAGAATTAAGTAGAGGGATTATTTTAATCTCTGGACCAAAGGCCGAAACACTAGAGAATTTAGTTTATAGAGCTAGAGTTAAATTAAAATTGAGGAAAATTTTAAAAATTGCTTGTAATTGATGGAGGGAAGAAGAAAGGCGGAGAAATAGAAATTTAATTATGACGCCGCGTAACGTACTGAATTTGAAAGAAATTAATTTTGATTTCGTTTTTTTTTTTTTCTCAAGGCCACTTTCTGTGGTTTACCGGCCCAGGGAACGTCCAAGTGTGGTCCAGAAAGATCCCATACTCGGGTCCGCATTGCCGCGCTGAGTTCTGGCTTTATATGGTGGAAATGGCAAACGGATTCATAAATCTCGTTGTACAAACTAACAACACGAAGTCCATCGCGTCGACGAAAGCCGGAAATAACAGCGCTACGTATGTGCCATGGAAATATTTTTTCTGCAATGCTACAATAATATAGATTTTAGAAAACTAAAATCTTATATACATGTCATACATGATGAGAAGCTAGAAAAAATACGTTTGATCTTTGTTCTAGATGGAACAAAATAAGTTTCTCCTTACGCTCGGTTGAGCAAACGTATCAATTATTTTTAGAAGCCTACGTACCATATTCTAACGCGAGCATTGGCGTTGACAACCTTCGCCTAGTTGATTGCTTTCCAGGTAATTAATATGAATATTTGCAAACAATTTAGTTAATTGAATATTTTGATTGCCGGGTTATATCCTTCTGGTAATTACGATATTTATATACAATGACCTTATTCTCCGTTTAATTTGTCATGTTCATTTATCCAATTAAGTTAATTAAGTAAAAGAATAGCTTATATCGTATCGGAGAAATTTTTAGTTGTAATAATCGATGATTTTAGAGGGTTTGAAAGAGATTTAAAATTTTGGTTTTAAAGATTAAAAATTTACAAATATAATGGCTGATGTTAGAGTAAATTAATGTAAATAAAAATTGGATTCTAATATTTTAAACTCGTTCTCGTCCCGTTTCTAGAAGTCATGCCGATCGGCAATTGTACAGACGGTATGTTTCGGTGTAACAACGGCTCCTGCTTGAACAAGACCCGCGTCTGCGATTTCACCTTAGATTGCGCCGACGGCGAAGACGAGGGGTCCAACTGCGGTGTGTACATCCTAAATTCGTCACCTTATATTTCCTTGAATATCGAATCTCGCGACGTAAGAAATTCTTTGTGCCTCGTCTCGAAACGTTCCTATTATGGATTCGTATAATCGGAACATTCGGAACATTTCCGCAGACAAGATACCAGAGAACGCGAGGTGCAACTTCGAGAAGGGTTGGTGCGGGTGGACAAACGTTCCCGAGAGACCCTTAAACTGGACTCTTCACAGGGGCTCCACGCCGACCGACAGAACCGGGCCTCATTACGATCACACGTACCGCAATGAAACCGGTAGGTTTAGAATCAAGCGACGAGAATATCATATTTTCAGAATAATACACTGTTATCTGTTTTCATCTATTTCAGGAACGTACGCGTACGTGAACATGGCTTCGAAGAAAGCGGGTGTCATGTACGGCAGTCGAGGCACCATTTCGAGTCCTGTCTATAATCCGACACCACCTTACAGCAGCAATCCTAAAAGCGAATATTATCAATCGTGTCAAGTACGTCCATTTATTCTATTGTTTATAATCTTGCATATCTTCAATCGGTTTTAATGATAAATGTGATAAATCAGACTGAAATTAATAAAATCAAAATAATCTTTTTGTTAATTTATCTGTTATGGAAGAATGCTCATCGATTATTTAATTCTACTGTTATCCATTTTTTATTTTTTATTTTTAGCTATTATTACCTATTTCTTTATTTTTTTACTAAACAATTTTTGAATGATCATGAATGCGTAATGCTCTTTGTCTCTGAAAATCTCTGAAAAACGCAGTAATAGAAGGCATTTGTGAAGCTTACCACATTGTTTTGAGTGAAAGATTTTTCCAATTATTCCAAAATGTTTTCCAGATACGCTTTTTCTACCACAAGTTCGGTGCGCATATCGGATCTCTTGGGATCTATTTGGTCCAAGTAAAGCCATACGGAAATCATAGTGAGAGGTTGTGGTGGTCCTTCGGAGCCAAAAACGACGTTTGGTATGGCGAGGCCGTTCCTCTACCTAACATAAGATATAGGTAAGCGTCTGAGATCGCACAATGATGAATACTTAACGCTTACAATGCAGAACTAATTATCGTCTCGAATAATGACGAAATTTCACACATCTATAGATACTTCTTGCAATTCGAAGCGTCCAGAGGATATTCTACGAAAGGTGATATAGCGATTGATGACATTTCCCTGAGTCCAGAATGTTTTGGCATTGGTAACTTTAACAAGTGTCCTTTTTTCTTATGTAACTGGCTCATTTACTGTAATTCAGCATTCTGTATAAACGTTTCTTTTCTTCAGGAGTTCCACCGGAAGTTGTAGGCAACTTTAATTATTATGATCCTGTTATTGAGTCTGAAAAGATGCCGCCGCAACATCCGGATTTTGCAAACGAGACGGGTACTACGACGCATCTATTAAGTTATATTTAGTTATTATACCTTTTAATATTGTTCATATTAATTATATTTATATTCTGCAACATATTAATTAAGTTTTGTTATAAAATATTTTATTATAAATTATTTTTTTGAAAAAATATTTTTATGACAGTTTTTTTTACAGAGAAATATATGCTTGTACAAAACTCTTTATATTTATTAAATTAATTTCTCTATTGCTAAAGCGTAAAAGGTCAAAAGGTAAAACATAAATGAAGATGTGCAATAATCTGTACAAGTGGAAGTAAAGATATTTAGAATATCATATGTTACTAGAAAGAAACAATAAAAATACAAATAAATTATCTTATTTTTTTTATATCTTATATACTTAAAGATTTACTAAAATGTTATTAAATTACAATTTGTCATTTTTTTCAGTCATTCAAATTACCACTTGTGGAGTTAACGGCAGGTTCGGCCCCACTGTTCAGGATTGCGTTGAGAAACATAATAATACAGACATAGAAATAGTTGTGCCATCAACAACAGGAAATCAGGAAGAGAGAAGTTTGAATGGAGTCCAACGATGGACTGCACCACGCGGCGAATACTACACGTTGGTAGACTCATAAATTATTTAGTATGATTTATCAGCACATTCTTTTACCAACAAGATGCACAGAAATAAGTAGACTTATGATGACTCGACTATTTTGATCCAATTAATAAAATGTCTTTGAAAACAGTTTAATTGCTGTCGGAGCACGAGGAGGAAAGGGCTTTAGCAACAGCGGCGCCACTTTGGGTGCGCTTGTTCGTGGTGTTATAGAGCTTCAGAAGGGCGATCAGCTGTATTTTATGGTTGGTCAAGTGGGAACAGACGCCTGCCCAAAAGTGAGTACATTTCTAATATAATTCTAGGATAAAAAATCATGTGGTTCCACAAAAAAAATTATAATGAAAAGTAATAAGAAATATTATTTTTGCATGCAGAAGTAAAATTTTTTTGTGTTACAAATTACCGAATGTTCTCTTATTTGTTTATTTTATATTTTTATTCACAATAAAATGATGTTACCTATATTGTCGATCAGAATCTTGGCCTGAAGGTAGTCGTCTGTCGATCGAATCAATCGGACGACTTGTCTTCATCGACGTCGAAAGTGCGAGACGTAAAGAATATTGAAATTAAGGATCCTGGCGGTGGTGGCGGTGGTGCAACGGCCATCTTCATGGTGAATAATATTTATACTATATAGTAGTAAAATAATGATTAATAATAATTTAATAAAATAAAACAAAAACGCGAAAAGATATTTCTTTCCGTTATGATCTTTATAACAGTAGTGTTATAAAAAAAGTCAGTGTTCTATCTGTTTCCTTTTCAACACATTTGATTATGTATATTGAATTGCTTATACTTGATTATAGAAAGCGAACGGCGAGTCGGAACCCATCTTAATCGCAGGTGGTGGCGGTGGTTTGGGGTTGAATCCTTCTATGGATGATGGATTACAACATGGACGCGGTCCTTTTCTTCCGAATAGACCAATCTCTTGGGCCGATGTTACAGAACACATGGGTAACGCTTCTCTCGAAATTAAAAGAAAATTTTTAAATTGTAGTTTTATGAAAAGAATGTAAAAGTAAAAAAAAAAGAACACAAACTTGAATGAAACATTGCTTTCTAGGTGGACATGGTGGTAGTTGGAACGGTACTAGTTTTCAACGAGAGGCCTCGGGAATGTTATTGAGTCGTGGAGGTATAGGAGGACGCGGTTGCGAGACCGGAACCGAAGGTCATGGCAACGGAGGCTTCGGTGGAGGTGGAGGTGGTTGCCGATCGGGAGGCGGCGGCGGCGGTTATATTGGTAATTAAAAATATAAAACATTTAAATATACATTCTACAATATTTAAATATTATCATTAAACTTCTCTATATATATATTTAAACACATAATATTAGTTTTAATGATTTTTATGCGTTGCTATATAAAATTTTTTTGAACATACCTTTTGATTACAATTAAGATCTTGAGATTAAGATCGAAAATATACTAATTAAAATGGATCTTGTTGCTTTATACGTAACAAATGATGATCTTCAGAATTAGCTTAGAAGAATTAATTTCGTGTTCTCCAGGTGGTAATGCTGGGCACGCGGATTATGCAAGTGGTGAAGGCGGTTACTCATACGCCAACCGGAAGCTCACCAATGTATACTTCAAACCTGCAATCCACGCTGGTCCGGGTGAGATCTTCATCATACCCGCGATCAGCGGTTGTGGATGTGATTACCGTTGCGTCGCGCTCGATCAGTATTTGAGCGAGACCAGGTGTCTCTGCCCTCAGGGTTGGCGGCTCAGTAACGATTCCAGATCCTGCATCAGTAAGTACAACGATAATTATCATTGGAGGATTATCATTTGTCTTTGCTATTACAAGCAAATTACGAACAAAGTAAAATTGAATTTCAGTGACTGACGATTCTAAGGATGGACACCAAACGTATGTCATCCCACTTGTAGCTGTAGTTGTTGGCCTGTTCATTATCATTGGAATTTGCCTAATATCTTGTAAGTATACAAAAAAAAAGCGCCATTTTGTTATTAAATAACAAATTAAATAAATTGATTCTTTGTAAAATAAAGATAAGATAGATCATATTTTTCAAAATGCATTCTACGTACAATAAATGGTCAGTCAGTGAGTAAAGTAAATTGTAAATGTCTTTCTAGCTTCCACTATCGTAATTTATATTTAAATAGAATCAGTTTCTCTCATTATATTTAATCATTGAGTACTTGTTTTTCTTAGATATTTTATTAATTATTCTATTCTTATAATAAATCCCTTTCATATTTGTTTCTTTTATTTATCCTAAATTTTCCGACAGATAAACGATACCAAAACCAAAAGGCGCTTCTACGCCGCCGCCAAGTGATGTTCGGCAACGGCACGGAATTGACCGCGTTGCGTGCGGTGTCGGACACAATGATGACCGAATTCAACCCCAATTATGAATTTGCTGGAAATCTCTACAGCTTCAAGGACTTGCCGCAAATACCCCGCGATTGTATTACATTAGTAAAGTTAGTACAAATTTAATAAAAGATCCAACCAAGACCAATTGGCATATCGATCAGATGACGCTAGACAATCGTTAACGGGTTAAATTTGATTTTCTCAATTAGTTTAGTAATTAGCATATCAATCAGATAGTCCTACAAATTCTCACAAAATCTGTACAAATTTTCGAAATGTACAATTTTTCCTCGTACAAAGATACAGATTTATAATATATACGCAACAAATAAAATAAAAGCTGTTCATTAAATTTTTTTTAATCGTACGTATGGAGCAAAGTAAGAGCGATCAATTATGTGTTTTTCAACGCAGACCCCTCGGCCAAGGCGCGTTTGGCGAAGTTTTCCAGGGCGTCTACAAATACAGACGCGGCGAGGAGCACCCCGTCGCCGTAAAAACGCTACCGTCTTTATCTACGACACAGGCAGAGGCTGACTTTATGATGGAAGCATTAATAATGAGCAAATTTAATCATCCTAATATAGTACACTTTATCGGCGTCTCTTTCGATAAACATCCGAGATATATCGTTCTCGAATTATTAGCCGGAGGCGACCTAAAAAATTTCCTACGCGAAGAACGGCCTCGATCAGTGAGTATTAATAACCCAATGATAATATCATCAATCTCATGGGGGAACCCGAGAGTAAAGAGTCATATCATATGTACCGAGAGTAAAATATATTTTAAAATAATTCCAAAGTATCTAATAGCTATTTGAATATTTATATAGCTTTTTTTATCTAACTTGAATTCAAAGAATTGTTATTTGATTCAACTACGTGCAGTAGTGCAGTGGGTAATAAGCAAATATTTGTTAAATATATATTTACAAAAATATTTTGTTGATAGTGCTTATGTTATATTTACCCACTTGTTTTTAACTTGAATACATTACTTAAAACTTGAACTAAATGAAACTTACTAAATGACCAAACGGATTTGGATCAACAACTTCGATTCTCTCGGGATGTGTAGGACGTACGTTTACACGTTTATTTTTTTGACTTTGACAGGATCGGCCTACATCATTAACGATGCTAGATCTCATTATGTGCGGCTACGACGTCGCGAACGGCTGTAAATACATGGAGGAGGCGCGTTTTATACACCGAGACATTGCCGCTAGGAATTGCTTGTTAACTACTAAGGCACCAGGACGTACCGTTAAAATCGCAGATTTCGGTATGGCCAGAGACATTTATCGGAGCGATTATTATAAAAAAGGCGGCAAGGCCATGCTGCCCATAAAGTGGATGCCACCCGAGAGTTTCCTGGACGGAATATTCACGACGAAGACCGACGTTTGGTAAGACTCCTGGTATTTCGTATTCGCTAGAATCTCTCACTTTCAATTTTAAATAATTTTTACAATTCAACTACTATCACGCGTTTTTCCACTTTTTATATAATTTAGATTGTTCGTTTTTTTTTTTTTAAATTAAAATGAAGAGAGAATGTCCCATTAGTTGATTACGTAAAATTATGTAAAGAATAAAAACTTGTAACATTTTTTGCAATCAATTTTCAAGGTCCTTCGGTGTACTCCTGTGGGAGATTATGTCATTCGGATATATGCCCTATACTGGATGTGCAAATCTCGAGGTCATGTCGATGGTTACGTCCGGCGGCCGTCTCGAGAAACCCGCGGGGTGCCCGGATCCTATATATGGGATCATGACGCGATGCTGGCATCCACGCCCTGATGACAGGCCAAGTTTTTCCACCATCGCCGAAAGGATTGGCTATTGCTTGCAGGTAAGAAACGCAATATATCTTTAACGTATAATAGGACCGATTTTTGAAAAAAAATCTACAACAGTTAGAATCGATACTTTATTTCATTTCCTTCTTCTGATTATTATTATTGATTATTGCTTTCTTTTTTTCCCATAAATAAAATCAATCGTGTTATTTAATTTAAGTGTAATTCAAGGCGATATAATTAAAAAATTAATATTTTTTTTTTTTTATAAAGGACCCTGATGTGATAAATCAACCTACGCCTAATTTTGATATATTGCCAATTTGCGATCGTGAAATAACAATCATGAGACCGGATTCGGAAGCGGAATGCATCAACGTGCGGTCTGAGGTACAGTTCTAAGAGGAAATATGGAAATGGTTATAATCTTGTTCAATGTATACATATAAAAAGTGAACCTTCTTCGATTCGTCGATTTGACAGTTGGACGGCTACATGCAGCCGAGGGTTATCGATCCGCGATCTGTTGCACGACGTGTGGATCAAGCTATGGGATGCACCGCCTATGATTCGGAGAATGAAAAATCGACCGAAGACTGCAAGTTGTACGGCGGGAAATCGACGGGATGCCGGCAAGGAACGTACAGTTGCAATACGTACAACTCTAGTCCGGATGCCTTTGAGCAAGTGTATAGCAACAACGATCACGATGAAGATCAGGACGACGACGTGATCGAAGATTGCAAGGTGCATATTTGAAAAATTTAAGACAGAAGTTTATCGTTAATTTAATTCTTTATTATTCTTATTATATCAAATATTATATCTTAATTTAAACATTTTATTTGTATCTATTTAACGAGTCCTTTTCTCCCATTACACTAATAATATTTAATAATAATAATACGAGAGTAATACGAGATATTATAACTGTAATATTATCACTACTAATTTTAATAATAATATTTGGCTTTATTAAAATTAAGATGCAGAATTAAGATGCGCTGAAAACAGGCCGGTGTTACAAGAATTTTATTAATAATGAAAGAATTGGTCAAATATGTTTCATTATATTTATAAAATTGTTTTATATTATATTATATCCGTTTTTTGTTATTTTAAAATTACAATTACGTGGCAGTATATATTATTTACACTATTGCAGGACAAATATAAGGTTGACCGTTCGGATCAACAAGACAGCAGGGCAATACATCGAACCAGCGACATCGAAGACCACGTAGACAATGGCAACAACCGTCCAGAGGATGAGTGTCATCTGACTGCCAATAATGCAATAACGAATCGCAAAAACGGCAATGAGAGCACAACGACTACCGACACCAACTCCGACTCTTTGATAGCACAATCCTCGGATACCCCGCCCGATACGACAAACTCATCGCCCAACACGCGCACCTGTTCACCAAGCCGTACAATCGGCCTCAATGCCAACATCAGCAACGTGAACGGTATGGTGAAGAAGACCGCCCTGAAGGCAACCCTGAGTCTGGACCCGAGCGCGCTTTGCAGAGGCACCATCCCCTATGAGAAGATCACAACGCAAGCGCAACGCTCGAGCACACCAGGCAGTATGGAGCTAAGGAAGGTAACTTGACCTCCCCCTACATCCGGCGTCCTGCAAAGTTTCCACCTGTACATGATCGTGGTCCTTGATTGAAGGTACTAAAAAACGCAATTCTAAGTCCAGCGGCGAACTTGAACATTTACAATCAAGGGGGTTTTCCCTGATACAGGAAGTTAATAATTTTCAAAAAATATATATATAGCAAGAGGCTCTAAAGTCTTCTGTTAGAGGAAAAAAATGTACGAGATTTAGAGAAATAATGCTTTAAAAGTCAAAAACGTGAAAAAAAAAGGATCGATGTTTGTATACGTTTATCGACTCCTTGCAAACTCCTTGATTGCGAATTACTATGACATCTCTTTTCGAGATGATAAACATTTTAAGCTATTGGAGCGATTCTGAACGTTACAGATTTTTTTTTTTGTATTGCTGTCGAGACTGTAATTTTTCCATTTCTGTAATCTCTTCTCTTTATTGTTTTCGCTCTTGCGACGAAGGATTCCCTGGGTCATGAGCTACCGAGGGAGGAGGAGTGTTCCTGCTGAGATTTATCTGAGGGGGGTTGACGAGGCTGCCCGGCCGCGCTCGGCTGCAACACCACTCGTCGATTGCAGCTGCAACGATCGGCCACGATGACTGCGGTCATAAAGGACACGCAACTCGTAGAACTCTCCTCGCCTTTATGGGCCCTGGACAACGAATACTCGCGTCGTTTCCATTCCGAGGAGACTCTCCTGTGAACGGGAATCGGAGGGGGAAGGGGGTGGGGGAAACCGCGAATTTCTCTTTACGGGCGACGCTCCTCTAACGCGCGTCGAGCGCGTGGTTTTTCCATAAGAAGGACAGAAGGACGAACAGAAAAAAAAAAAAGAAGATTGTTATGAATGAATGCAAACAAGACGAATTATGTACATACGGAGAGGACGAAAGTTACCAAATACGTAACGCATGTATTCAATATGTTAAGCTTTACATCACACACACACACACA